AGCCCCCAAATCATGACACAGAGATTTATTAATTATGAAAGCTTGGCCTTAGCTTAGGCTTGCTTCTAACTACCTCTTATAACTTAATTTAACCCATTTCTATTAACCTACATGCTATCACGTGGTTCATGGCTTTTACCTCTCTTGTATGTCCTGCTTCTTCTGCATCCGGCTGGCAATTCAGCCTTTCTTCTTCCCCAGACCTCTTTGCTCCCAGAAGTCCCACCTACCCTCCCCCCTCCCCCCTTCCTGCCTAGCTATTAGCCATGCAGCTCTTTTTTTTTTTTTTTTTTTAAACTTATTAAATAATTTTATTATTTCCTCCTTCATACTGCTAATAGTAGCCCAGGTTTAAGCATGCTAGAAAATTTGAAGAAATAAAACAACTTTTTGGTTTACATAAAGCATATATAAAAATATCTATTCAGAAAACAAATATCTGATAATTTCACTGATCACCCATCTTTGAGAGTGCCAAAAAACAAAAGCTCATCATGCTATAATAAAATACCTTCCAATTGAATGAGGAGGCAAGACAGTTTTGTTAAAGTTTTGTTCATTTGGCATTTTAGGGAACTGATCTGTGCTGATGAAATTTAAGTCAAAGTTATGGTCAGATAATATGAATGAAAATGTGCAGCTTCTTAAAGGCATTCTTCAAACAAAACCTGCTTTGTGCTTTTAAAACCAATCATAGTGACACATCTTCATACAGTGTAAAGGAATATTCTGTAACAGAAATTGCTGTGAAGAGAAACATTAAGGGTTTTCCCCTCAGGATGGGGAGGAGCCTTTGAATGTGCGATGAGGACCTTTGTTAGATAGGTGGAAAGTTGGATGGGGGGATGAGGACCTTTGTTAGGTGGAATGTTGGATAGAGAGATGAGGACCTTTGTTAGATAGGTGGACTGTTAGATGGGAGGATGAGGACCTTTGTTAGGTGGATTGCTGGATGGGAAGATGAGGACCTTTGTTAGGTGGAATGTTGGATGGGGGGATGTGGACCTTTGTAAGGTAAAATGTTGGATGGGAAGATGAGGACCTTTGTTAGATGGATTGTAGGATGGGAGGATGTGGACCTTTGTTAGATAGGTGGAATGTTGGATGGGTGGATGAGGACCTTTGTTAGATGGATTGTAGGATGGGAGGATGTGGACCTTTGTTAGATAGGTGGAATGTTGGATGGGTGGATGAGGACCTTTGTTAGATGGATTGTAGGATGGGAGGATGTGGACCTTTGTTAGATAGGTGGAATGTTGGATGGGTGGATGAGGACCTTTGTTAGATGGATTGTAGGATGGGAGGATGTGGACCTTTGTTAGATAGGTGGAATGTTGGATGGGCAGATGTTTGAGAGATGGGGACTTCTGAGGATAGAGAAGTCTGAAGGGGCAGCTCCTAGGTGTTCAGAAAATTAATGAGAGAATTGATGTAAAACAGGGAAGGAGGCATTGAGAAAGGGGGTGACAAGAAGACTCAGGGTTCCTTTGTGTGTGCTGCATCTAATCATAACAGAAAGATAAAACAAAAAGTGACAAATGCTATTTCCAGTTTTGAAAATCCATAGTGACATTTTTGAACTGAATGAACCTTGCTAGTGAAATTAAAAAGAAAACCTCCATTTGTTGGTAGCTACTTGGGAAATAATTTATTTCAGCTTGTCTCTAGTATAACTAACTGGGAGACGAAAGTGCAATCATTTGTATTCATGTCTTTGCTACAGGTTACATCTTAAGTGTCGTGCTACTCACTTTGCCCAGGCAGCATCTGGTTCAGCTTTATTTATATTTTTTGACTGCCCTGCTCCTCTATGCTGGACATCAGATATCCAGGTAAGGCTGTGACCCCAGTTTTGGAATGTGGGATTGAGTTGAAAGTTGTTTTTTCTGTTTTTAAATGTCAACACAGTGTTTTTCATGAGTACTGATACAAAGCTATGGCTTAAGTAGGTTACTAGTCAAGACCTGCTAAAGGAACAGAGCTGATAGAATGAAGTTTTGTACTAAAGGTGATTTATTAGATTGGCTTACACAGGATACAGCAGAGGTAGTCCAGCAATGGCTGCTGGTTTTCAGTCTACATGCAAAGCCCAAAGAAGTTGGCTCTAATATCTGTGGAGGATGCTGCAGCAGCAGGATAGATGGATTTATGAGCATGAGGGGAGTGGGTAAAAAGCAACATTTCTTCTTCCGGATCCTTGTGTCTGTGCTTGCAGAAGGTATTGCCCACTTTTAGGGTGGCTCTTTCCACTCAAATACTCTGATCAAGAAAGCAGTGGACAGCCAAGATAGCCATCAGAGTGGGTTTCAAAACAGGATTTTTTTGTTAGTTGTTTTTTATATTGATAATATCATTCAAGATTAATAACTGAATTTATGTTGAGAGTCTGGTTTTGAAAAAGAAAAAGCTAATAGCAACAGGAAACAGGCATTACAGTTACATTTAAAGTTGAGCTTCTCTGTATTACCCAAGAAGAGAATTTATGCAGACACACAAAGAAACAGCTCAACTCTCCCAGTCTTAGCCAGACCTGTCTTCATTTTGCAGACACCAACTTAAAATAAGAATCAACATTTAGTTGCAGAAGTGTAGATGGTGA